TGGGAGTGTGGGAGAAATTTTTCTTCTACTGTCTACTTTCACAGAGAACATCTATCACAATATTTATATTTCATACAGTAAAGTAAGACCTAAACGCAACCATGAATGAATATACTTTTAAATGACTTCTTAAAATGTATTGTTTAAACATGTTAATTGGCCAGGCTACTACAAACTGAATTTATTTGACTTAGCAAGTTCACATTTTTATGAAGTCTTGCATCTTCTAAATTTGTTAAATGGCAAATCGCATGGCACGAACTCAGTCTTTTCCCTGAGATTAATTTCCCACAAACCACACACAGATAGAAGTTAGACTGCTATACAATCTTTGAAGGGTCTTCTGAGCAGTTTGTATGGTGAAAATGCATTTTATAACTTCTAAAGTACAGCAAACACTATTTTCCTCTCCCACTCTTTACTTACAAGTTGCCACTCTCATATAGTTTTCTTTAAAGTGAATCATAACATGACTAGCTCACACACCCTCCAGTAATTTCCAACTCCTATGAGCACATTAAATTTTAGGAGGCACACAAAAGAGTCATTGATTCTTCCAGAGCTACTGCCTTTAAGTGAATGAGAGCTCGTAGAAAATGCATACTTCACTGTGTTGTTAGATTTTGTCCCAGGACAAGCTGTACAAGTCTTTTGCCACATGGTAAAATATGTTCAGCTCTAAAAAATACTTTCAGCTCTAACTGCTAACTTTCTAACTGGTGAGGGTTAGCGACTAGTAAGTGATTCTCACTTCAGTATCAGAGAGCTATCTCACAACAGTTATTTTAAAAATAAGAACTAACAAAAACAAAACAACCTACCCCCCCCAAAACAACAAAGATGGTACGTGGGAAAAAAACACATAGCTTTGCAGTCAGATAGATGTCATTTTGGCATCTTCCTGGTTGTGTGACTTTGGGCAAGTTTTCTGATTCTCAGTTTTCTTATCTGAAAAGTGGGATGATGAGATCTAACTCAGGATTGTTGTGAAAACTGAGTTAGTAAATATAAAACATCTTGTCAAGTTCCTGATATAAGCTGATCAATGGTTTAATTATTAATAACTACTATCCTGTCTCATTTTCTAAAAGAATTCTAGGAAAGGCATTACCAAAATTGCAGACAGTCAAGATCAAGGACTTCAGAATGCAATGACTTTGACTGCCCTTTTGTAGTTGGGAACCACAAATGACGAAAGATGTCCTGGAGTGAGGAACGGTGAGGAACTTAAACTACCAGTTGAGTCACACTGGTTTCTTAGATGAAACCCTTCCCCTAGGTCCTAATGGTTTCATGTTTTAATCTCTCTCAAGGAGACTGTAAGGCAGAGGAAAAAATCCTATCATTTTATACCCTTCCTTATCCCTCCCATGATGTTAAGCAGAATAATAGGCACTTGGTTAAGGCACTCCATAAATTATCAACTGCACTAAGTCAACTAGGAATAGAGCTGAAAATGATACTGTTCACACTGTTACTCTTCTTTCCTTCAATATCTTTATAGACTCTATTATTTTTAATGTATTACGTATTTATTTATTTATTTATCTATCTATCTATTGGGGGGAGGTAATTAGGCTTACTTCTTTCTATATTTTTCAGAGGAGGTGCTGGGGGTTTGAACCCAGGACCTTGTGTATGCCAAGCATGCGCTCTACTACTCAGCTATACCCTCCCCCCTTTATAGTCTTGAAATATTCTTATTTAGAGATCCAAAACTGTGGCTTAAGGAAGTGATGTGACATAATAAGATATAATAGACTGGGAGTGAAGAATGTAGAATTTTACTTTCAGCTCTGCCACTAAACAGCGACATCACTTTGGGAAAAAACATGACCCAGCTGCCCTGGCACTGAGTTTCCGCACAGGTGAAACAGACTCGATAATCTCTACAGTTCTTCATGGTTTCCTTCTAAGCCTTCATGAGTAAAACTCAAGAATTATTTGTTAGAGAATTCAGTTAAATAAGAACTACAGGTAAACATACAAAGAACAAAAAGAGACTGTACCTAAATCAAAGTTTTTGATTTGCTGTGATAAATATACATTCTCGTTGAACAGAAGAGTAAAACTGAAACAATCTTTAGTCACGTTAATTATAAAGCAGTCCAGCCCAGGCAAGAAGAAATTCTATTCTTTGTCAATGGCACAATGAACAATATTCTTGGTACCTCTATATTTGTAAATCACTTCTGCACACAAATTTTAATATCTGGAACATTTTGCTGATACGTACCAACTTATTTAGCTTAGTATCTATGTGAAGTGAATATAATACAAACATGACACAGGAGGGGAAAAGAGCCATAGCTGTGTAATTCAAAACCCAATGGGTCTGTTTTTCCATTTTCCATAACCCTTCTTTAATAAATATTAAAATTTAGCAGTTCTTTACATTTGAATCTAGTCTCAACACACAAGACATTGCAATAAGTTTTTGTCTGAAATATAAATGAGTGATAGTAAAATTGCATTATGTTTTAGGATGGCAATGATGTTCCTGGGGGCGGGGATGGGCATGGGGGTGATACTGACCTGATAACTGGCAGTCACACTTTAGTCCTCAAATATAAATTCTTAAGGTTTTCTTCAGTTAATATTCGGGAAGATTGACACATATATTTAAAATGTCATCAGCATGGTGGAAAAGTGTCCAATGCTGCAAAATAATAAGAAATTTATTGTCTGTGTGACCACACTATAGACAATTGGTAAATCCCAAGAATGTCACCTGTCATTATAGCTGATAAGGCCTCACAGCTGTAGGTTGATACAGACAAGAAAGAGGAAAACAGCCACTTCTTCAAGTTGAAGCTGAGTAATATAGGACAAATACCAGAAATCTGACTTCCCGTTTGCAATTAAAATTAGGGAAAGTAAGGGCTTTCAAAATGTTTTTACTTTAAGATGTCCACTATCATTTCAAGAACTATCTTATGAATGTTACTAGAAGAAACTGACTTTTTCTCCCTAAATTGACAAAAGCCTATTTGCTTGAATCACCATGACTTATGCATAGAGTACTCAGAAAAATAACACAATTACAACTGGACTTTTCAAATTGCCAAATTTCTGCAAGGAAATTCTCATCCCCTCACCTCCTGCCAATCAATAAACAAATCAACCTGTCACCATCTCAGCTTTGTCTGTAAATTACTCATCCCAGTTTCTACTTTTTCCTATTTATTTCCAAATATTAATTGTTGAATTACATGCAGTTTTTGGCTTATGTCTTCATAGTAGTGTATCAGACCCCAGAAAACTTTTTTAAAAATGATAGGCCCTAAATTTTATTTGATAAAACATAATTTTTGTCCTGTATTTTAAGGCACCAAGTCTATTTGACTCAGTCTCTGCCCATGTACAAATTATGTGGCCCAGGATTTTCAGAAAAAGGCTGTTTTTGACTCCACATTCATTATCAGAAATACGACTGCCAGATTTTTGGCATGCCATACTGTCGTCTACAGACTCATTCTCTACTTATTTTCTAAATGAGCTGTTACTTGTCACTGTCATCATCCATTAAGTAACTGTGAAAGACAAGATCATTTCAACCAGATGCTCAGCTAATTCCTTCCAGTAGAATCTCTCCAAGACCCAACTTTCCTTCGTTTAGAATATTTCTGTCTAAGGAATGCTACAGTCTATAAATCTGAAACAAAAACCACTTGTGGACAAGTTGTCTGAATACATTATCATACACCATGGTACAGCTAGCTGTGGCTATATTAAGCTTTATAGTTTTCTCAATTAAAAATACATATAAATATATCTAACAAAAAGATCAAGTTATATACATTTTAAAATCCTGGGAAAATAAGCCTATTTATAGACTAAGTATGAAACTTACTTTTAAGTTATTAATAAGTGATTTCAAACATAAGTTTGCCCAGCACTCCATTTGCTCTATTCACGTGCTACTTCCTACCAAATCAGGGCCAACAGCCAGGAGAGCATGAGTCTCTTCTGTACGAACTTTCATGTGCCAATATGGGTGTCACAAAGAACACTGTCCCCACACCTCCACTGTACCTCCTAAACAACAGTGCTGATTTTGCCATGAAGTATGCTGCTGTGGCTTGGGCGCTGGTCATTTCATTTTCACCTTTTCCCTTTACCCAACTTCCACTCAATCTGGTTCTGATTGTGCCTTTTCCTTCTTGAATAAGTCTCAAGTTTTTGCTCTGGAACTGTGAATTAATTCTGTAGGACAGCAGGCATTGTTGCCTTTTTACCAATAGAGACTGGGTGGCAGAAAAAGAAACACCCCAAACAGTTTCTACAGCAAAGTAAGCAGTAGGGCAGGGCAGGGTGGAGTACAAGTAAGATGTTTGTCTACCTAGTATCTGGGTGTGTGTATGTCTTTCCCTGGAACTGAAGGCTTTATTTCTCAGTGCTGGGGGATATGGGACATGAGAGATGAGTCTTAGATATTCCTGACCTATAATCACCTCAAAAAAAAAAAAAACTACACAAATCTTTTTAAAAAATTCACTTGGCTAGTATAAAAAATGAATCAGTTATTTTACCCAGAAGGTCACACTTGCAGGACTGGATTAAAAAAAAATTACTTCTTTATTAGATAATCAGATATCAAATTTAAGAAATTTATACTTGGGCTACAATTGACTGAGATGCAGGCCATTCAGTAAGTTTTTAGTATCAGTGATAAGATATGAGCTAAGATATAAAGAAAATTTGCTCCAATTATATAAAGACTCTTACCAATACATATAAGTAAAACCAAAATTTGAGAAGCCAGTTAATTCTTAGAATTCAAAGAGTCAACATCAACATATAAAATGGGTGTTTTGACAGCTTTCCTCTAGATAATTTACTTCCTTAAAAACGTGGTATATATGAAATTTTTAAAAAATAAAATGAACATGTCACAATTATAAGTACCGAATCTAAACACAGACAAAAGTGCACTGCTATTTAAAAAAAAAACGTATCCAAAGCAACCTCCTATCTGGGGCAGAAGGTGTTGACACATTACCTTGACTATCTCAAGATTTAAGTTTCCCCACCCTCTGGCATTTCTGGTTTTTGGAAGGGTTATTTATGCATTTGGGGATAAAAGAGTGACAACATTCCAAATCGTACCTCTCATTCCACTTTTGCCATTTTAGGATTAGGCTAAATTAGAAAAACATCTCAAAATATTATCAGAAAGTAATTTTCTGATCACAAAAGCAAATTTTTGTACATTTATTAAAGAGTTGTTATGCTGTTATTATTTACAAAGATTCTAAAACCAAGGTAGAAAAACAAATCTCATTTTACTGAATTCTACAATACTACGCAAAATAAGCTTCATTACAAACGTCAAATCAATCTTCTTTCAGTTGAAGGTAAAAGATATTACTGGGCTACCTGGATTCTTATCTGTCTATGTGTTATAACATGTGCTATGGGCTGAATTGTGTCCCCCACCCCCAAATTCATAAATTAAAGTTCTAATTCCCAATACCTTAGAATGTGACTGTATTTGGAGATAAGGTCTTTAAAGAGGTACTTAAATTAAAATGAAAAATGAGGTCATTAGGGTGGGCCCTAATCTAATGTGACTGGTGTCATTATAAGAAGAGAAAACTGGACACAAACATAGGACAGGGAGAGACCATGTGAAGACACAGGGAGAAAATGGGCACCTACGAGCCAAAGAGAGAGGCCTAAGAAGAAACCGATCCTACTCACACACTGATTTCCAGCTTCTAGCCTCCAGGATTGTGAGAAAGTAAATTTCTGTAGTTTAAGCCACCCAGTCTGTGGTATTGTTTTATGGCAGATCTAGCAAACTAATATATGCCAAACATTTACTACTTTTAAAGACTATTACAGCAACGAGATCCAAGCCCTCTCCTTCCCATGAGAGTGACATAGCACAGAATGGCCTGCTTGGCCTTAATCAGTCTGCTTTTTCCAGCCACACTATGGG